GAAAGCAAATTATCATAGAGGGTTATAATAAAGGCTGTGGAGGGCTACAGATTTGGATAGAAATACAAGCTAAACTTCCATTGCTTCACCTATAAATTGTAGATAATAGTACTTGCCTCATAGGGTTGTTGTAAGGATTAAATTAGATAATACAGTGACATCATTCACCAAAGTACATTACACACAGTAATTACTCTATAAAAGGTACTTATTTTTAACATTAGGTCTAAATTGGGAATGTTGGTGGTGTAGTGCCCAAAGTAATTGAGGCTGGAAGTTCAAACCCACCAGCCACTCCTCGGAAAGAAGATTGAGCAATCTATTTCTGTATAGATACCACCTCAGAAACCCAAGGAGGGGTCACTGTGAGTTGGGACCAACTCAATGGCAGTGAGTTTGGTGGGTTTTTATTATTATTATTATTTTGGGTTTAGGTCTAAATTACTACATTACCTATGCTTTATCTGTTAGAAAAAAATTACACATTGGGTGAGTATGAGAGCAAATGTATATAAGTAAACGTTTCAAAAACAACAAAGTAACAGTTAAAAACAAATGCACAATATGCCCATCATATATATTATAATTTATAAGAATATTCAAAGAAGCACTATTTTAACAGGTAATAATTTGAGACAACCCAAATGCACACCAGCTGAGTAATGAAGAAATGATGATATAGTCATAAAACGGAAGACTATTCAGGAATGAGAACGAATAATCTACAACCACAAGCAGCAGAGTAGATGAATGTCACAAATCTAACAATGAGCATAAGAAGCCAGAAATAAAAGAGAGCATATGCCTTGATTAATTTATATAAAGTTCAAAACCAGATAAAATTAACATATGCTCTTTTAGTTAGCATATGCTTTTTTTAAGGATAGTGATGACCTTGGGAAGAACACATAGGGAGTGAGCTCAAAGGAGGGGTCTTTTGGGATGCTTGCAATGTTCTGTTTCTTGAGCTGTTTGATTTAGGTACTTGATACAAAGGTGGTATCAGTTTGTGAAAATTAATTGAATGATATATAATTTAGAATACATACCTTTCTGTATATTTTTTATACTTTAATAGCAAGTGAAAAAAAAAAAAGAATCTCATCACTTGCACAGAGTGAAAACCAGTAGGACGCAGCTTAGTACGTGTCTTGGTTCTTAACTGTCACTTGTCTCTCGTCTCTTAAGGCTACAATGATCTTCACTACAAAAATGTGCAAGAGCATGGACATAGCTTGGAGATAATGATGGAATTTCGTAAAACAAAATTTGGCTTTTGTTAAATTTCTAAGTATACTGGGAAGGCAATTTGGTACACAAGTAAAGTACATTCAGAAAGAAAGTTAAAATTACATATTCAACTTTCACTTTATTCACATCTAAAAGAAATATACTTGTATAAAAACAAGAATTTTATCCATTTCTTTGCTACAAAAGTTACATGAGCCATTTCATGGTGAATTCCGTTATTACTAGAATATTAACGATGTAATACATTAGGGAAAATGATACTTTTCTCTATTTTGTTTGGCTTCTATTAATGAAATAATTTAATTTCTAGTGGCTCCCTGATAGTATTACATATATAGAGATGCTCTAATGA